TCATGATGTCCATTTAGTGCTTTTGCTATTAATTATATACCTAATTAAAAGCACATTGTTGATGGTTTTTCAGAATTAGTTTGAAAGCATTTCTCGCATTGTAGAAATAAAACTACACTACTGTAATGCAACCATAAAAAGTAAAATATGTATTTTGAGACATATTCGCTTATCGCTTAGAGCAGAGACTAAAGTAATTTAAACTTCTGTATCTTTAAAAAGATCATGGCAAGGTTACCTGTGCTGGTTTTGTTAAGATCAAGCCTCTTTAAGTGTGTGAGGGTAAAACAAAGAGAAATGTCAAATTGATACTAGAAATTCTTTTGATAAATACTTATAAGTGATTCTACAACGTGAAAGTTCGCAAGTCGTAGTCCATTGCAAACAAGAAAAAGTACCGCGTTTGGAAAGTCGTTGATTAGAGTCCTTGGGGAAAATGACAAGGGAAACAAAAAGAATCTTGCTCTGCCTTCCGGCAGTTAGTATTGAAGATTTCGTGGGCCAGGTTGAGAAAAGGTTTTGTACGTGAGGAAGGAATAATGGTGGCCTGAACTTGAAACTGACAAATGTATATTGGTAAGAACTGCCGATCGATACCAACGTATGAAGAAATAAAAACCAAAGAGCGCATGAAAATTACAGTAAATATATTGCGCAACCAATTAAACATATATTCCTGAAAAGGTTTTTCTTAATTAGTGGAGGACCTCAGTATAGAATTTCATATGCGTTCGAACCCAGTAGAACGGGGTTGTTGCAGGGTCGTGTTTCGTAGTTTTCTCTATGTATAATGTGAGAACAAGTAAGTTTTCCTTAAAATTTCTTCATGAATGCATCCGTCTCTTTAAGCGCGTAATCTTCATATGCTTTGCATATTCCAGTAATCATAATTTGAATTAACAGAATATACAGCGGCAACGAAACTGTGGCATGGTGTAAAGACATTAGGTTATTTCAAAGCAGGAGACATGAGAAATGAGTTTGTATGTTTATATTATGTGTATTATATTCTCTTGCTGAGACTCGAAAAACGGAATTTTCAAATACGCGCCGAGTGGGGTGACTAATACACCACGAAGGCATGCTAAGAATTCGGGAGAAATACCTTACGCACTCTCCCTTTTAAAGGAATCCTGGTGGTGGAGAATCGTCATCCACCACCTTCTTTTAGTTCAGGCGCCACAGTAGAAAAATTAAGGGGCTTATTGAACTTATTATCTACTAATCAAGCTGAAAGTACAGAATATTTAAAAATTTCCCAAACACCCCAACATAAGAAAATTATCTTTATTGCACCTAATTTTGTATATTTATATTATGTGTATTATGTGCTCTAAATTTAGGTCTGCCCTTTTGTTGATCTCCTGAAATACTTAATTTTCTCAATAAAAGGCGTTATGAATCAAAATTATGAGAATCATCTTTATTTAAGCATACTTCGTAAAAAATTAAATAAATAGTAAACAATAAAGCAATGCAAGTGGCCGAGAAGGACGACAGTTTTCCAGTAATTTCAAATAACATTCTTCGTATTTACTACATTATTTTCTGTGATAAAAAACAGGCTGCAGACTGCAAATTTCCTGCAAAAGTTTATGGTGTTGTAGTAAATTAATGAAAAATTTTAATTTGAATACTACTCGATTGTAAAGCTTTCGAACTTTCATTAATTTAACGGCTAGTCGATTCAATCGAAAATTCCCGAATGAAATAAATAACATAAAATACATGTGTCCCATTTTTACACTTATTAACAGAACTTAACGAGAGAAGAACATCTCTGGAATGATACAGTTTTTATAGAGCAAAATAATACCTGCAGACGTACAACGACTGGACACGGGCAAGTCTCAAATCATTCTCATGTTTTTATCTGTCCTGCTCTTTTACGAGTCAAATGCAACAGCCGAGGAGTGAGGGAACATCCGTTTCCGGTCAGGAAGACTCCCATAGGAGTTGAGTTCAGATTAATACCTAAATTGCACCTTCTACAGTACTACAAATTGCAGTTAAACGTTGGACGGAGAAACATATATAATCACAAATAATTCCAGGTTCCACAAAAAATTCCACCATGGATTAATGTTTTTAATATGACGAAATTTTCATTTATTTAATTTGTCATTTCATTTAAACAAACAGCATTTCGGTATATGAAGAAATCTAATCTTTATATGCTCATCTTTTTCTTATTTTTAAGAAAATCATTTTATATCCGGCATATAATGCGCATCCGTAAATTTCGATCTTATTTTTTGTATTAAAAGTGCACGTATACGCTGGAATATCCGGAATAGATATATATAATTTTCGTATGGTACCTTTTCATTTAAAATTTATATCAAACTGGAAGATGTACTCAGGCGTATATTTTGACGCCAGGCAGAAAACAAACTTAAGTTGGCGTAAATTTTGAACAAAACCTTATCGATTTAAAGGAGTTAAGACGTTAGTTCCCTCTTCTTATTCAAGCAAATAAACTTTGCGTACATTTATGAAACCCAGAAATGAGTTTCTTTCCCATTATCATTATTATTTTGTCTAACGTTCACTCCTTTCTTTTAACTTTACTTTAGTTTGTTGTTATAAATTTTTAACATCGTTAGTTTTCGAATAACTTTCCGAGTTCTGCATTGCTTTTCATAATTTTACCCAGTTTAGTAATGTTTTGCATGATTTTCACCAACCTTAATTTCTGATTTTGTTTTCTAAAGTTTCATTCTTTTTTTCGAGTATTTTAAATCTTATATCTTTTCTTACTGTTCGAGTTCCACATATTCGAAAATTCCGAATCTTTTAAATCTAAGATAAGGGAGGAAGAATGACTTTAACACCAGTCGTCAATTTTAGTACCAGTCGACTTTTAATATTTGTGATTTAAAGTTGGGCATAAAAGATTTGGAATTAGACCGTGGTCAGAAGATTTTCTGTATGTTAAATATATATTACAGAAAGATACAAAATGCGATGTCATGATAAAAGATATCCGTCGTATCAACATGTAGGATATATAATCTGTTATCTGTTTATTATCACTTAAATGAAATAAAATAATTTTTTTATGTTCCAATATTACGAATATATGTATAAAAATTATCATTTTACTCTGGCAAAATCTGAAATAAATCTTAAAGGTCTTATCAAATGAAATTTTGTCCTTAAAAATTAATTACAAAATGCTTTCAACGATTCAGTTTATGGAGTCAACTTGACGTAATAAAATTTCAGAGATATTACTGATTTACTCTAAACAAATATTTTGGAATTTTATTAATATCTTAGCTAGTTGAGATTAAATACTTCTTTTAAATTTTCATGCATATAATATTCTTATACAGGTGCACATTAAAATTATCAATTTGGGTGAATAATCACATTTTATTTTATAATTATATTTGATAGAATATATCTGAAGTCTTATAAAACTAGTTTCTCTGCATTTCTGTGGTAACTGAAAAAGAAAATATTGAAGATTGAAGTTGGTATGAGTAAAGTATTTATTAATTACTAAGTATATAATACAAATGCCTTAAATCATTCTTTGTGGTGTCAGTACAGTTTTATAGGATGTCATTAATTCTTCCAAGCTTTAGTAGCAGTTTTTATATTATATTACAAGTTCTTAGTTGTTTAAATTTTAGAAGATTTGATATTTTTATTAGTATTATATTCAGCTAATTATTTTCTAAATATATATATGCTATTTTCCGCCCAGACGGTATTGTGGTTAGGGGTGCCTACTGCGGTACCGAAGGGGGCCGAGTTCGAATCCCGGAGAATGCACGGATATTTGTAAATGTATAGTGTCTTTGCGGTATGAGAGTACTCTATGGTGAGGCGAAAGTATTCTCGAGAGGTTCATAGTAGCAGAAGAGGGGTGGAAGACGATCGAACCCTTCCTCCCCGGGATGCTCTCCATGAAAAGTGGGGGCGGAACTCTGTGAATTCATACTGTAGCGTGTAAGGTGCTCAAGGCTCTTGTCAACGACAAGAGCATTCTATGCTCTCCTTACCACGATCAATTTCGTGGGCTTGTTTTGATGTTGCTGCCATACAAGTGCGATAGGTCACAACACAACAATACATATATGCTGTATTTTTATATCCAGCTTGTCACTGTTATGTTGATTTGGCACCAGTTCATTTTAGTACTCACGCTTTTTTTCTTACATTTTCGTCTTCAGCACATCTAGAAGTTCATTCAAATTTTAGAAAAAAAATACACACAATTCGTTTCATGAAGTAGCTGTCATTCGTAACAACAAATCATGATCAACAAATCAGGACCTGTGTTCTGGAACTGAGACTCTCACTCGTTGCATTGATATTCAACTTAACTCTCTAACCGCGGGTACAAAATTCTTAAATATGGAGAATTTGATTCAAATCAAATCGTAAATCAGTAATAAATTTAAAAATGAAGAAGAAATGGGTATTGCCGCATTAGCATACCACGAAATCTAAGTACTAGTGCGATATGAGCGTTCCCAGAGTATAATCAGTACAAATGATGAGCGCGCAATTTACATAACCCGCGGTTAGAGAGTTAAGAGGATAACGTTTGCGACCAAAAACATTAGAATTAATTAGTTTGATTTTGGCAGATATTTTTTCAGTTCCGGTGTCGCCATACAGATTATTAGATTTTTTCATAGCAAGAGTTTTAAGGATCAGTTATATTCTCAACGGTGTTCAGGCGACGGCTATTCAAGTAGTGAGTTGGATGTAATAATCACTTTCACCATCAGCAGCACGCTTGGAGGAATTCGAATTTAATTGCATCTTGATTGTAGTCTTGAAATGTGATTAAATGAAAGTGTTATTGTAAAATGTATGTGAAATGCAGATAAATACATTACAAAAATAATTCGCTAACTTGCTAATATGCGTTATTTATGTCTGATTGTTAGTGAAAGTTATAAAAGTTATAAAAACAAAGATAAATTGCGATAATTAATGATTCGACTTTAACCCTGTATTTTATTTGTAATGTTTTACAGATATTCTTGATGGTATCAAATGAATATATGGATTGGTCGCTTCCCCATTTACATGCAACGGATATCTTCGCCGGCACAGTCGAAGCACTCAGTGACGTAACAGTTGTTTCACCAATGGTAAGAACAGGAATGTTACATAGCAATCCAAAATTTCCACCAAGCAGTCCTAGCTACAGAGCGCCAGTTCTTATTCCTACTAAAACGTTCTTTTACGTTTTCGGACATCAAACAGAAGCAGGATATTTTTCATCAAGACTTGGGTGTGTAACGGGAGAAGACGTAGCCTATGTATTAGGTGCACCCTTGGTCACATCTTTGTCCCATTTCAGTTCTAACTTCACTGTTGACGAAATTGCATTATCTGAGGTGACTATGACACACTGGACAAGCTTCGCTAAATTTGGGTGAGTACTAATTGTTAACTATGTTGTATAAGTTTTTTACTGAAACTAAGTAAAATTTACAAACAATTAATTTTTTAAAAATTACAATGAATTGCATAATACATTGCTTCCAATGAAAGTTTAAGCCATTCATAAATCATGTGTAAAGTAAAAATAATTGTACCTATTATTAGTTATGTCTTTTATTTCCATTTTGAAAAAATCAACTAGCTAGTGTGTTGTTAACACACTTTGCTACTGAAGCTTTTAAAAGATTATAAAATATCAAACTAAAATACTTTACTTTCTTTATTTAACCTCATTATTTGCAAAGTGTCAGTCACTAATTCCAGAAGAAGGATATATCAAAAGAAAAAAAAAACTTTTCGTTTAAAATATTATTATAAAATCAATAAAGAATGTGATTCAGGATATCGTAGTATAAACTTGTTTTAGAGAACTTGTTTCTCATATTAACATTTTATTTAATGCAATCCAATAATAAAAGCGTGTAACTAGAAGTAATCAGTTTCACAGGAGAGAGCTAATTTACAGGCTATTTGTTTTCCATCTGATAAGCAGAAATCACTTAAGGTTAGGCTTGCCAGATTTCAGATATGTTCAACCAGGACACTTGAATGCCCCCCGGCGTCACGGGTATTCAAGGGCCCCTTTGGCGGGTTTTTGGAGTGTTTTAGAGGGTTGTTCATTCTCAATTTTATGAATAAATGGTTAATTATAGGAACGTAAACCATAGGTAATACTAAATGGCACAAGCGTATAAATTTAAACATTTTATTTCTTACATGCTAATATTTATAAGTTATTTAGATTCCTTCATCAAACCCCTATCATCAGACCATGCGTTGTTCATCAAAGAAAATACTCTCTCAACTGGTGCTGATGTCTCAGGTAAGCAGAAGATATACTCAACAATCTTGATCAGATCGGGGACTGCTGTGTGATTCCCCTTGAAGTGATCAAACAGCCTGAGCCATTTTTCTTCACTTGAAGTAATCACATCTCTGGTAGATTCTTCTTGCTTCCACTGTTTCCAGTTGGACTGCAAGTACTCCTTAGCAATCGCAACTTCATCAGACAGCTGATCAGTGTTTATTTGCATATCGTGTACATCAAAAAGACTGCTGTTAATCATTTCAGCAGAAGTTTCGGCGTTTTTTGTAAAGCCTACTTATGGTTCCAAAATACAAAATGTTTACTGCGAAGAATGAAACAAAGAAATGCGCTCAAAACTGGACATATACTCTACAGCATAAAAGGAAAAAAAAAAAAAAAAAAAAAAAAAAACTTAGTAGACTTTATTCGAATGAGATAGAAATTGGTAGATGTAATGCACACGTATTGAGAACGAGACACTAATAGTGTCATGAAATTTGAATGTCAAGGAATAAAATTTCAAGACGAAAAACAAGAATAATGCGTTGTCCCACCTTTTACTTCGATGCAAGCTGTTATCCAGCTGGGCATTGACTAGTTTAGTTGGCAGGTGTCCTCCTTCCAGATTGCTTGCCATAAATGTTCCAATTAGCAAGTTACGTCTGCGTGAGTCTGGGACGGTCACCTACTCATCAGAGCCCAAACGTCCTTTATTACGGATTTGGCGATCGCTCTGGCTAGAGAAGTTTAGGAGAAGCACCAAGACAAGCAATAGAAAGGCGTGTCATGTGCAGCTGGCCATTTTTGTGTTGAAATGTTAGCCCAAGGGTGCGTGAAAAAAGGATAACACTATGAGATGTAAACTCGCGTTGACGTACGTCGACAAACTGTTCAGAAAACTGTGTCACAAAGACGAAAGGTCAAAACAAAATGTGTCATGGATGACAAACTGTTTCACCTATCAAATCAAATGTCACCCTATGCCACACTCCTGGTTTTCTGGCTGTGTGGCTGAAGACAAACAGGTGAGTATCCCACAGCTCCTGGACGTCTCCAGTTATCCAAAAATAAATTAATAATAATTTGATTTATCTTTCACCAAGTGAGCCAGTTTGTAGAGAAAACAGATTTTGAGAAAAATGCATTGAAAGTTTTAAATGCTATATTTTTATTATTAAATCTTGACCCAAATATTCTCATCAAGTTTGTCATCGGGGCCAAATCAGAGGCGGGATTCATCCTTAAAAATAATTCTACATCAGTCGGTGAGATCCCAGGTCGAAATCGCCTGGCACCACAGCAAACGTGCTTGGCAATGTGCAACAGTGAAGGGAAATCGGAGCAGTGGCTTCTTTGACCTCAAATCCCGTAGAATCGTTGGTAAGGGCGCATCAGGCCCAAGGGCGTCCCAGTCAGACGATCACGCTATCTTCGCTTTCTATTGTCGCTCTCGGTCGACCACTACTTTTTTGCGCTCTGTGCGGCCATGATTTCTCCAATCCTACCAACACCATCTAATAGCAGCATAGTCCCCAACAAATGTCTAGCGATTCTGTGATTTGACCACTCTGCTTCGTAATTGCCTATTTCATATGGAAATCTGCTCATATAGTTCACGAACCCGTCTGCGAAAGTGAAAGGAACCACATTGTCTTGAAAGTTATGCCTTAACATTGCTGCAATTTTGTCTGTTTTATGAGCCATCCGGGTGCTCTCTGTTGCAATGTGCTGAAAATTCTACCATTCAGTAAGGCCACAAAACGTTAATCATTTTCATATTCTATAGTAAAATATGCTCATACTCAATTTCGTCCTATTCGGATAACTCCTTCTTGAAGTGTCGTTTCTTATATTGAAGAGTGTAATTTTATTTCATAATATTTAGCTCGAATGAGACTTCGTTTCATGATACAGAAGGTTAAGAATATTAAGTCACTATTAGTTTTAAGTAGGTGCATATTATTTTAATTTTGTAATAAAATACGTTTGACCAAATTTTGGACTGTCAAAAGCCTTAATATTTCGAATTTTTAAGGTATCCGACCACGTTCGGAGCACTTTTTTTCAAAAAAGCAGCATAGGTACACTATATACACATTTTCTCATTTATTATCGACAGAGATTAATTATGGAATATCAAAATTTAATATATACTATTATTATCCTGCAAAAAAATATTAAATTTACGTGAAATTTTATGCAAATTTTAAAAACAATTTGAAACATTCTATATGAAAAAATATTAAAGTTATATTAAAAAAAGTCATAGAATAGTACATTACATGCTTTTATCTAGGGAATGACATAGAGTTTTAAGAATATCTTGAATAATAAGAAAAAACCAGAATTTTGAAATTTTTTATGAGATTTTCGATAAATTCACGATGTCATTATTTAAATAACAAATCACAATTTCAAAAATATTTAACATATAAATATTCTGGTATGTCATTCCCTAGATAACTGTATGTAGATTAAGCATAGAAAGTTTCATAAAAATAAATTAATAATAATTTGATTTATCTTTCACCAAGTGAGCCAGTTTTTAGAGAAAACAGATTTTGAGAAAAATGCATTGAAAGTTTTAAATGCTATATTTTTATTATTAAATCTTGACCCAAATACCTAAAACTCCCCATATCTATAGGTTATACCTTCCTTTTGCTCAGCTTTATCTGTTTTTCTGTTTATATTCAGCCTATTTGTTTTTCGTGGCAATTTTATTCTGGGTAGTGAGTGATATTTTGATTTACTTATTCGCTTTATGTCGAGCTTACTAAATCCTTCGACTAGATATTCACCATACCTATATAATTTAAAATATCTAGAAAGCTTAAAAAACCCTCTGTTAAAGTGTACAACAGCTATATATGCCCCAATTTAAGAGTTTGTAATTCCATAATGGCAACTATCGGTATAAATTTCCAAAAGATGTCGTTAATTTTTTTTTTTTTTTTCATTTTGTGTCGTTTTTATAAGCACTTTTATAAGAGCTCACATAGTTTTATATACACTATGAAGAATATTAATTACATTCTTTTTGTTTTTGTACACGCTTTCAACAGATACAGCTCGCTGATATTTACAAAAAATGTCGGGTCCATCTGGGCGCTAACCATGTATACGTAGTTTTGCACTAGAGAAAGTGTGAAAAAATGGAGCAATTACAGCAATTTCCATTCATTGTTCATGACTCCATTTTTGAAGTTTGTCAATAAAAACATCCATTAGTGAGCGACATTGACCCCTCCATCAAGATATTTTTGTTTTCCCTTCAATTTTCTAACTCTGGATCGGGGCTTCTGAATATGACTTATGCGTTCAGATTTAGTGACACTACTTAAATATAAGTATATTTTACGTCACAAATCACTTTAAAAATCTGCTCCTGCCGATGAGAAATATTTTAGTTTTAGTTCACTCGATGGGAAATGCTTGATTAATATTATTCTCAATTTCCTTCGCAACCAGTTTCATAAATTTGTTCCTTATGCATATTCATTTACAAATACAGATATTTTTAGACCTCTTCATTATAGTTTTAACTTGAATGTTATTAAAAATAATAAAGGACAAAAGTAAATCTAATTGCAGTATGCAATGTTTCGAATCAAATCAAACTCATATGTTACCGAAGACATAGCTTTCAACAGGTAATTAATAAAATATTGTATTTTATTGGAAATAATTTTCATGTTGCTGCACAGATTACAGCTAAGATTCTATTAATTCTCTCTCTTTAAAAATCTTTACATTACATTTTAAAGGTAAAAAATTATTTTATGTCCATTTCTACCTCTTTTCGACCCTTTGAATGCGCACTTTCGGTGATTTAAATGCCCATTTCCGATTTTTATGTCTTTATGAAATCCTTAATATCTCGGTTTCTAATTATCGTAGAAACAAAAGCAGACCAGTTTTGAAAAGCTAAATAACCAGTATATCCAATGAACGAATAAAAGAAAATTGCCATTTTTTGCCAAAATTTGCCTTTTCAACGTGTTCGGTGAAACTGTTCTCTTTGCAAAATCTGTCTAAACATCCAAAAGAAACACCTTATTATACTGATATACAAGTTGAATTTTAATTATAATAAATGATGTTAATTAAAAAAAATGATTAAA